TTAATTTTCTGCTTATATTTTGCACTCCATGTCCTACTTGAACAATGCATAGTGTATATACTTTCATTTATAGTTTTATATCTTCTAATATTAATAATATTAACAATATTTTTACTGTGATATTCTTTGTTTTCTATTTTTTGCGCTGCTTTGCCCTATTGCTGCTGTTTCAAAATGAATTTCTCCTTAGGGGGGTTAAATAAAGGATTTGTCTTAATCTTAATCTTAATCTTAAGAGCACACAGGGATTTCTTTTCATTACCAAAAAGGCCTAATGATCACCTACAGTAGCAGTAGGGGTAGAGGAATCTTTCAAAACAACCAAAGTCACCCTTAAGAAGTGTATATTGCTTTTGATTCCTAGACAGTAACAAAGCATTTGAATGGAAATCCACACTTTGGGGGACCATGCATGTCCCTCTGAAGAGTTACGAGCAGGGATGGGTGCTCCATTCAGTCCACCCAAGCAATGGATGCATGGTGGGAGGTTGCGTTACGTTTTTGCTCCCGCCCACTTGCACTTGCTCCTGCTGCCTGCTGCTGAGCGCATTCATGCTGTATTGTCACGGGAGACCCCAAACTATCTGCGCCTGTCATCGCCATCGCCATGGGGAAAAGGCTGCGGTGTGTCTGTTTGCTCGTTTTCCTCATTTTCAAAGGTAGGACAAACAGTAAAACTTATTTGAGCTAAGTCAGCTAGCAACTGTTAACTGCTAACTAATGCACTAGTGATCGATTGGTCCCTCGGTGGCTAAACACATCGATTAAAAGCTACTGAAAGCGACGTTATTGTAAGTTTTCTCTAATGTTAACGTTAGCTGTCCAAATGGTTGCATAACTGTGCTTCTTATTTTAGGTACGTACTAAGTAAGTTAGTGACATACATTTAGTAAGACTGAGTAAAACATTTGAGTAATAACTAAGCGGTTGGCTTGCTATAAGTTGAGTAAATAACCAGCTTTATCTTTATATGTGTCCTGCATCTTTTACCAGAATAATTGAGCTAGCTGTGAGCTATTAGCTCAAACTGTGTTTGACGCTAACTTCTGAACACACAGAAAAAGTTTTGTATTGTTTTGAGGTAAAGAGAAATTGCTGTTTGCTGTTTCAGGTGTATGCCGATTAGAGGAAAGTATCACATGATTCCGACTTTTCAAACTTCTGGAGTCTTATTTTATGAGACATGTTTGCCCAGAAGCGAAGAAAGATTAATTTGCCACCCTTTTAATGGAAGTTCTCCTCTGTTGGGTCCACTGTATTCATGTCCTCCAGACTCATCCATCCGAGATCATTAGCACATTATGCACACTGTAAAATCACCAATACCAAATCTAATTACTCATTGACTTCACATATGTGTATCACTTAAATATGACTGTGTTATATTATAAATAAAGCTGTAATCGCCTGATAATGCATACATTTGGCCTACATTGGAGTAAGAATGCGTAACTTAATTGATGTCACACTTAGCTCTCTCTACATATAGCAACAGTGGCTTGACTGAGAGGTTTATAATAGCAAAATAAGATTCAACCTCGGATAATGCCTTTTTTGTTTCATGTCCCCTCTACAGAAGCGTCTGGCTTAAAGATTCAGAACAAGCTGCTGGGTAAATGTCTGCAGGTGCAGGAAGGTGGAGGGAGAGTGTCTCTGGCTGACTGCAGCCCATACTCCACCCTACAGGAATGGCGCTGGCTCTCGGGAAGCCAGGCTCTCAGCAGTCACCACACAGGGGAGTGTCTGACCGCACCAAGAGAGCAGTACGAAGGTGTCCACCTGCAGCCCTGCATCTTTTCGACAGAGAGTGACAAGAATGGTGCTGAAGTGGCAGCGGTGGATATAGGTAGAGAGGCAAGCAGCCAGACATGGTCCTGTTCCAAGAAAGGCCACCTCACTTTGATAGGGAGGGGGCTGCACCTTAGTGCCACACAAGAATCCACTTTGGTCTTCCTTTCGAGGGAACACAAGCAGGTATGAATATTTTGGAGAAGGGACAAAAGGTCACATAGCATCTGATTGTACATTAATCAGATGACTTAAAAAGTATTGAAAAACTAGGGAGGAAATATGTATTGTAGAATATTTTTACCTAATGAGAGTAAGTCTATAAAATGTCCAATGCTAGCTGGATGTTCGTTTGACTTATCTTCTTTACTAGCAGGGCAGCAGGTGGCGGACACTTGACAACCAGACGCTGTGCAATGGGAGAGACAGCAAACATAACCAACACCAACCTCTCCACCATCTGGGGAAATCGCTGGAACGTGGGATTCTTCCAAGTGCTGTCTCTGATATACACAGACCATGTGAGAACCTCAAAGTACCTCACTATAGTAGTTTACTGAGTGTTGCATAACTATGATGAGAAAATCAAAACAGTACACAAATAAGTAAACATAGGATATTGAATTAGTCATTTTTCTTGCATTGAAAAGGTTCCTATATAGCGGCAGATCCTCAAAGCTTGAATGTTTTCATTTCTTTAAATGCACCAACAAGGAGCCTTTACAGGATATCCTTCTTTCTTTCTGCCCATTCTTTGTGATGTTTTTGCCTCTGTCAAGAACATTTTAGAAGATTTGTAATTTCAATTTCCTCATCATGAAATGGCACCACTGTGACTCGTTAAGTCATAATGGCAATGCTGATTGAAATGTGTCTTAGAGATACAGGCCAATGAAATCAGTCCTGTGATGTTCAGTTTTGGTCATCGCTTCTAGTTGACTTGTTCTTGACTTCCTCCATTTCAGTTGAAAGTATAATGGGCGTTGAGGTCACAAAACCATATCCTGTAATAGATGAGCCTCTTTCGTCCCTGAGCACCAAATCCCCTGCAGATCCCACCATGGTTTTCTTCAGTATGGACTACGGTAAGCTTGGTAAACTGTAATCAACAAAAGACTGATTGTGTCCTCTGTATGTCCAATTTTATCTGAGGAAATGTTTGATGTTTGTTTGAATACTGTATGTATTGACATGGAAGCCTGAACAGTTTTCCTTATTCAATATAACTGTAGTTACTTTTCCACCACTAGGTGGAGCCGAATGAATGAGAAACAGCAGAATGTATGATGGGTGTTTGTAATATTTGGAATTTCAGTAGGCTTCTGTTAGCAGGTTCAGAGTCAAATCAAACTAATGCAACAAGAATCATAGCTTAGAAAAAAGTAAATATAGTAAGAGTTGACATGTGGGCTGTGTAAAATGTGTTGCTTTGTCTGTTTATGTGTATAGGGATGGGCTGGAAGATAACAATGCTGGTACTAAGCTCTTTGGCTCTGGTCCTGGGGACTGTGATCCTTATCCTCAATGTTTATTCCAATAGGTGAGTGCCTAAACACACACTTAACAAACATCAAAGTAGACATTATTATTTATACTGTATAGATTGAAGTTGATGAATTAATAATTTTGCCTACATAACATAAATAAATTATGATTTTGCTTGTATATTAATCATTTATTATTTGAATGGTTCAACCTTTATTTACTTCTCTGGAGTACGTTGAGGGGTGAGCCCACATTTTCAAAGATGCCGGTAATACATTAGGGAACAAAAACAGTGATACAATACAGTATACAGTATAAACAAAAAAATAAAAATGGTTTAAAAAAGACAAATGAGAACACAAACATCAACATTTATTTGGTAAAATAGCCAATGCTTGACTAGTAAAAGATTATATAAAGCAAGAGTTTTTTTGTTGTTGTTGTTTTATGTCATTTTAAATTGGGTACATTAGTTTTTCGAATCGATGGACATTTGACAAAGTTTTTGACATTTTAGATGAATAGTCATAAAACAAGGACATGAAACAAAAGATGTAACAAGTCTACATAATCTGCAGCTGACCTGCTTTGTAGACAGTTAACGCCCTGCGCGTTGGAGACCCAGATCCAGTTACCACAACGAACAAAAATCTATTTAACTAAACAAAAAGAATATTTAGCTCGATTTAAAAAAGAACATAGTTGTATTAAGAGACTGCAGTGTATCAGAAAACGTTATTTGGGGAAAAAATATTGAAAGAGCTTAAGTACAAAGCAAAATGTGGTACCCCCACCCACTTTCTGTCTTTTTCTGTCTTGCTGTGCCAGAAGGAAGAAGGTGGTGTGTGTTCTGAAGTCATACACTCCGAGGCCAGAGGTGAGTGTTCCTGGGTCCCCGGTGCCCAGTGAAAGAGCCCCACTGACAGAGCATGCCATGCGCCTCCCACATTCCTCCCCCACTTTACAGCGAGGAGAAATCCTGATTGAGTGGAAGGATGGCACTGTTACTCCACTGTACGAGGCCTGAGGGTAGTGTAGGTTTGGACATGGGTGTGTTTTTGCAAGCACACATGGTTTCATGTTCAAGGTTATGCATGTAATCTTCTGATGTTCTCTGTTGTTTCAGACTGTTTTCATCAAAAAGGATACTAAGCAACCTGTCGATGGTGTAGTCTAGACTTTTTCATAAAATGGAAAGTTCATGGATGATTCTCTGAGGCTTAGCTGCTACAGGAAGATAAAGGTTGTTGTGAAACTACTAGAGTAGAAAAAGCTGAGTATGACCTGGAGTGTCTGAAAGTCTGAAAACAGACCTGACCTCTGTTGATGGAGATTTGAGGGATTGCTTGTTGGCTGAAAGGATTGTAAAATGAATGTTTAAGCATTCAGACATTGTTTGAAGACTTACTATAAGTACCATTTCAAGGCTCAACAAAGCAACCAATAGCTTCAGCCTTAAGTTGGATAAACACTTAGGAAACTAACTTTTGTTTGCCTACGCCTAAAACTGAAACTTCTTCTACCTTGATCTTTGATACTGATGTCCCGTATTTGCTTTATTTTGAAGAATTTAAAAGCTCTGTAGCCAATTTTTGATACAGTGTTGATTTGTCACGTAACATTGGGCCTAACATCGTTGGACACACCTTAGCTCCTGAGACTCACACCATTAATAATAGGATTAATAGACTATTTTAGGAAAATACACTCACCGTTGTGTTGCAAGAAACATTGCTTGCTTAACAAGATTCAGTATTATTTAGCGTGTACTCCATATCGATATAGAGTAGTTAAGATGTTTCAGAAGAAAATACTAATCTAGTTTACATGGAAATGTTAAGTGTCTAAAACAGTATATTTTAGTATTGTTCATTTTGTTTGATACTGACATTACATGAGCATTTATTCATTTAAATTGATAACAGAGTATGTTTATGACATTGACTTGAGCTTGACAGTTCATTTTCAACCTTTGACAAACAGTTGACAAAATGATCTCCACTTAAAGGACCACTTACTTCCTTTTCCAAGGCCTTTCAATCACACAACACAGTCTTCATTGGTACATAAACTGAGACGAGGAGAGAACTGAGGGACTGTAGGTGTAGATGTGAATTTTCCATTATATTGAGCATTTTTTGGACTTCTCATCCATAAAGGTTCACTGTGACGATCATAGGATATGGTTGAAAGCCCCAGAACCAGCTCAAGTGGAGATTGTTTTGTCAGCTGCCATTGGCTTTTTGTGTTTGTATGTGGTGACCAGGTAGACCAACAAAGATGTGGTAAATGTATAAATGTGTTTTTAACTAAAAAACAACAACGATGCACTTGCTAATAAAATGGGATATATACAATTGATTGGTCCTGTTTGTATGTTTGCATAGTGACATGGTGTATTATGTAAAGTGTTTATTGTACATCAGCAAACCCTTCCCATAGTTTAATATCATCCTGAGTGAGGGGGAAGGGAATGATTGCTGACAAAAGCACCAATTAAAGTACTTCAGACAATTTGTCAGGATACAGTAATCACAGATATGTTAAGTTGAGGATGACGGTGATGATGAAGGTTCCAGAAAGCATGGCATTGCCCTGTGGCACGGAAACTTCTCAGCAGGAGTCTGTTTACAACTAAAAAAACCAAAGGCTGTTTTCAGTGTGTTTTTGGGAGAGGCCTGGGTGTTGTTGGGCAGGTTCATTTGATCATTTAACAGTAATGAGCAGATCTGTGTTTAGATAAAACACTGCCACAAGGAAAGGACATACTCTTACTTATATATACAACGTATGCTCAAACGTGCATTTGCAGCCAGTACTTCTGCACCTCCTGTGCTTTTAAAGGATATTTTGTTTTGTTTTTTTCGAGAGAAAGTAACACCAAAGTTAGAGCTGACACCCTGTTTCCCCTGCTGGTAGTGTTTATACTAATGAGAGGGTGCAAAGTTTAACGAACACAACACAGCACCCTGAAAATGACATGGCATCCCACACCCAAACCACATCCGCATGCCTGATGAGAAAAATGCAGGTTATTTTCATTCTTTCACTTTTTTTTTCTTTTTTGGCAAAGGAATCATTTAGCCTCCACAATATTTGTTTATTATTTGTCTTTAACTGGCCTTGAACCTGTGTGTAACTGTATACTAGTTTTACTTTTTACTAAGTGTTGCAGAGCGTTATAGAGTCTTTTTTATGTTTTGGCTTTGTGCTCCACTGGGTTTGAAATAAAAAAAGCCTATGGGGGTAAATGCTGCCTTTCCGCTGTACTATAATTTCAGGTTGTTTACGTACACATTGTGCGAATAGTGTAGCAATCGTAACCCTATCGTCCTCCCGCACTGCACTATACAGTAGGCGTGCACGTGCGCACCCTCACACACCCTTAGAGCTGAAAGTCAGCGCTCTGACCACGTTATCATCATTTCATCTGAAATGCTGAAATACTGAGCCAAAACAATAGAAAATGTGTCACCGTCCAAATACTAACATGATGCACCGTATGTGCACAGACGTGTCTTCGTGGAGGTGAGGCAGAAGAGGGTGGGAGCCACATCTCTATGAATAGGAGACTGACTCAGCACTTTTGATTCCTGGCAGATCATAAATCCGTTTTCACTGTCTCATGACCTTACAGATTCTTCAGATCAGTCAGTTTGTATATTCTTGTAGTAGTAGACAGTTAAAAAACAAGTACCATGAAAAAATGTGAACGTGAACAAATAACATCGGAAATAACAGCGGATTGCACTCCCAAAAAATCCCTGCTGTCTTTTTTTGTTGTGGGAGAAGAGCACAATTGTTGGTGTATAGTTTTGTTGGGAGAACAGTAGTTTCTCAGAGACACTGAACCACAGTTATATCCTGCTCATCCCTAAGCTTCACAGTTATACCACATGAGACAGTTAACTAGATGAAGCAAAATTCATGAGACTGCCTTGACCTTCAAATGACCTTTCAGATAAGTAAGATTGTGCTTTTTATATAAATACCAATCATCCTGCAAATCTCTTTGCATTGTGAAGTGGTGTGGACGACATTTCAGAATGAGACTCGGACGAAAGGGAGAAGAC